CAAATGTTTCTCGTTTTAGGTCTAGTGTTAGTTCTAGTTTTACACTAGCAGTATTAGTATGTAGAACTAACACTATACCCAGAACTAGAATCATTTGGGTTTAGCCGCACGTCTCTAAAGACGGCTAAACCCGAATGATTCTAGTTCTGGGTATAGTGTTAGTTCTTGTTTTACACTAGCAGTTACTATGTAGAACTAACACTATAACTAGAAGTAGAATTATTTGGGTTTAGCCGCACGTCTCTAAAACCGGCGAAACCCGAATGATTCTAGTTCTAGGTATATTGCAGAGCTGGGACGGATACAGGAAAAAAGTATTCGAGTACCGGATACCGGATACTTACAATGTATCCGGATACTTTTTTAAAAAAGTTAAGATACTTTCTCCATAAAAGTATCCGGATACATGTATACTGCAGTTTTCGGATACTTTTAAAATGACCTAAATTATTGTTAAACTAATATATTGTCATCCATATTTTACTTATAGTGACTCCTAATCTTTTCTCCTATATTTTTTCCGAGTGGTCTCTCGGTGGGGAAATTTAGTACACACTTGCTAGGGAATGAGTTCTTTGAATTTTTTCTAAATTTAGAAAATGAATTTAGAAAGAATTTCGAATTTAGCATTCAAATTTTAGTCGGAGAGAAAGCCCTCGATTTTCCTACAATAATAAAAGAGGAGAACAACTAACTTCCAACATGTAACGCCACAATTATTGATGTAGTCACAAAAGATGTATAATAGTAGGAGAAACTGAAAAAATATGGGGCTTCAAACACGCTAGTGTGTATGTATGTGTGTAATAATAGAATATTAAATAAAAAAACTCAATTAAAAAGTATCCGAACACCGAAAAAAGTATCCGGATACCGGATACATTCAGATTTAGTCACGGATACCGGATACAAAATTTGAAAAGTATCCGGATACAGAGTATCGGATACTCAAAAAGTATCCGGATACTGTATCCGGATACTCAAAAAGTATCCGGATACTGTATCCGGATACTACCCAACTCTGGTATAGTGTTAGTTTCAATTTTACACTAACACTGTTACTATATAGAACTAACACTATACCTAGAACTAGAATCATTTGGGTTTAGCCGCACGTCTCTAAAGACGGCTAAACCCGAATGATTCTAGTTCTGAGTATAGTGTTAGTTCTTGTTTTACACTAGCAGTTACTATGTAGAACTAACACTATAACTAGAACTAGAATCATTTGGGTTTAGCCGCACGTCTCTAAAGACGGCTAAACCCGAATGATTCTAGTTCTAGGTAT